AGAATCGACATCTCTCCAAATGGCATATGGAAGGTGTTCGTGTCCGGCTGCCATCTCTCCACAAATGCCGTTATCAAAGCTGTATCTAAATGCTGCATCATACAGCCTGCCAAGTGGGACAATCCTGTGCCCTCAACCACCTTCTGAGAACCCTCTGAACTCCACTCATACCTCCTCAAAGACTCCACAGTACCAGATCTATGACAACAATCCAACAACCCACGATCCTGTGCTGGGGAAGTCCACAGTGCAAAGGCAATGTGACCTCCAAAGCTAGGGATCACATCGGGAATCACAGGTCCACCTGAACACATCTGAGACTCCGATGTCAGACGCCACGACATGTCCCCCCTTACTCCCTTCTTCCTCTTCTTACCATCACCGTCTTCCTCACTACTACGTCTCGCAACGTAGCGTCCATCTAGCCCACGCTGTGGAAAGTGCGAAGAAGCTGTAGAAGATGTCCCAACTCGTCTCTTCTTACCGATGCCTACATCAGATTCAGGTGGGGCATCCCCAACCTCATCAACAGCCACATCATCATCATCATTATCATCATCGTCGTCGTCGTCCATAGAAACCGAATCACTCCAATTAGCCTCCCACGGCGTCGCATCCTCAGGAGTAGGGGTGGAGGTAGTACTTCGACTAAGAGATAACTGTCCCATAGTAGGGCGACCGTCGGGACGCACTATTTCTGCCTTCTTCTTCTTCCCCTTAACCTTACGTGGATTTTTTTCTTCATTTTCTTTTCTACCGGTCGCTGTAAGTCTACAAGCACGACCTTCCATTCTTCCTTCCGTTTTTTCTTCCATTCTTTTCTTATTCATGTACGGTTTGCCTATTCCATGTCCAGACATCTTCAAAAAAAAAAAAAAGATTTACAATTAATGATAATCAAATGCATTAACATTTTCTGATAATTTTCTCTAATTTTTTTAACTTTTTGATAATTTATTATTAACATTAATTACAAAATTCTTAGTCTTTTTGTCTAATTTCAACTACTTTTTAATTTTCCCATTATTCTAATATTTTTGTAACATTAATTACAAATTTATAGATTATATTTCTAAATTTTGATACTTTTTATAAATTTCAGATAATTTTTAATAATTTTTATTACATTATTCACAATATTTTTTTCATAATCATAAAAATATTCGAATTTAATTTTTATAATAAATTATAAACCGTACAACTTAATTATAATTAACTACAATTATTTCTAATTATTACATAATTCACAATATTTAATAACAATTTTTATTAATTAATTGAATTAAAATTATTTAAAAATCAACCAAACCGAATGTTGACTTGACTTCGGTTTGACCATGGCTCAACCGAATGTTGACTTCGGTTTGACCATGGCTCAACCGAAGTCTTCGTTCGGTTGCAGGCGACGCGGAGCTTTACCTTCTTCTCCGGCGAGCACGGACGGCAGGCGAGAGGAGGGCTGACGGCGACGGCTGGGCGACCACGCGACAGCTGGCGCTGGGGGCGAAGACGGTGACTGCTGGCGACGACGCTGCGCGACTCCGACTCCGGCGGCGTGGGTTGCGGCAGCGGACGACGCTGCGGACTGACGCGACGCCGACTCCGGCGGCGTGGGTTGCGGCGGCGGACGACTCCGGCGGCGTGGGCTGCGGCGGCGGACGACTCCGGCGGCGTGGGCTGCGGCGGCGGACGACTCCGGCGGCGTGGGCTGCGCTGCTTGTTGTCGGGGGGGAGGGGGGGTGAGTTGTCTGTGTCGGGGGAGAGGAAGGGGGTAAGGGGTTGTTTGCTTAGGGTTTATTTTTGAATTTTAGAAAGGGTAATTCAGTAATTTACGTATTAAGTTAGGACGATAGTTAGTAATTTTTAGGACGACCTTTAACCCTTCAGAAAATTAATGTGTGGTCATACTTTTTGTCCAAAAATAATCTATGTTCAATCTCTCTCATCCATCAATTTAAAACACATGAAAGAAAAAAAAAATTCAATAATAAATATAGTGGGTTGTGAAAATGACAACTCTAAATAAAAAGAGGATTGTTATTCACCGCCCTACTTTTTACTAATTATCGCTCTAATTTGATATAAAAAGATCCATATACCTTAATGAAATAACCCTTTATGTTCCCCTTCCCTTTCCCTTTTATGGGCCATGTAAAATGACATGGTTCGTCCTAGGGAACGGATAAGGTCAGTAACCTTATGGTGAGTAACCATGAGTAACCAGCCCACATCAGCATGACATCAGCATCTCTCTCTCTCCTGGAAAGCCTTTAATTTCCCCTTCTTAATATTTGACGGACGATTTCTCACTTGTTTTAAGTCGAAATTTAATTTTTTTTGCACAGTTAGATCAGATTAATTGTGCTCTTTAAAATGATATCCACTTTGATATATTTTTTGAACAAAAAAAAATTGAGTCATTTTTTACCAGTCTATACCATATGGTATTGACTGGTATTGAAATAAGAACATACCTATGGTTTGAAAAGCGTACCATGGTGGTATGAACAAACAAAGACTGTAGGATGGTTGAATACATGATAGTAGAAGTATATTAACTGTTTTACGACTTTTATCATTGTGTACCACAAGATACCGCCCCGTACCAGGGTGGTATTGTGTGGTAATTTTTGGTCATGTAATTTGTTCACCCAGAAATTTGTAGATCCAGTAGATCATGATGAACTCGTCCCTTCTGTGCAAACGTTTTCAAAAACGAATTAAAAACGAAGAAAATACCATATGGTATGCAGTTGGTACCGAGAGGCCAGAATTTTTTTTTTCTCAAAAAATATTGAAAATTGTTCTCATTTGGTAGAGCACGATGAACTCGTTCCATCTGTGCAAAAAAAAATTAAAATTCGAGTTAAACGAAAAAGATATGAGCCGATTAAGAAAGCTAGAGAAAATAAAAATGATCTTTAATTCTCCATCCTTAGATCTTGATTTTCTAAATGAAGGGTCCAGATTTGGTTATTGATGGATGCATAACCCATGGTTATGCACCCTATCTTGAGCTTTCGTCCTAGGACAGGCCATGTAAAATAGGATGGTCTGTCCTGGACAAAATCATTTAAAATGGGATGGTCTATACCAGGTTTGACCATATTGAAATACATGGTTCGACCTACGTTGGACCATATAATTTTACATGGTTCGGGGCGAAATTTTTTTCAATTTTAATGTGGTAGTTTTTGGATAGAAAGAGGGAAGGGGAAACAATCATATTCTCATAACATAAATACAATGTTCACATAACACAAATATCAATGTTTCTATAACCATGGTTCAAAAAGACATGCTTAAGCTTACGCTTAGGCAAACCTAGGCGCAAGGCAATGCCAAAACGCCTCGCCTAGGGGTTTCCCGCCTAATTAGATACTGGAACACGTCAATGAAGTAAGGCGACATATTAGTCTCTCTTAAGCATTACTAGATGGAGCTAGAAAGTCAATATTAAAGGAGAAAATTAACGTCAACTATGAATCAATTTTCAATAGTTCAAGAACTTTGTGAGCTATTGAATTATGATTCTATGAATTCGTGAGCTATGTTCTTGTCATTAAGTGCTGAGTAATTATTAATCATTTTAACTAAAGTGAGGAAGTGTTGTAGATTATTATTTCAATCATCATGCAGTGCGAATAACTATTTTCTTCCAACGCCTAGATAGGCTTAGTCTACGCCTAGGTGAGCTAGGCGCTAGGCAAAACATCAACGCCCACCTTACGCCTAACGCATTTTTGAACCTTGCCTATAACACAAATACAATATACGTATGAAATACTTTGACCCGAACCATGTAAAATCACATGGTCCAACGTATACGTGTGAAGATTAATTAAAATGATTCCTTTTATCCCACATCTATTCGAACAAGTTTTATATCCATGTCACATATAATCTAACATTGCGAAGATCTTAATAATAACATAACACAAATATCATATTCTCATAACATAAATACAATATTCACATAACAGATTTATTATATTCTTGTAACACAAACACAATATTCGTATCAAAGACAATTAAAATGCATTCTAAATGATACACAACCTAGTTGCATTCTAATTTGTCTTAAGTCTATTTTAACAAGGTCTATATCCATTCTTACTTTTAGACTTCTCACTCTTTCTTCCTACACAAACATCATATTGTTGAACTCTACCACTTGATGTTGAGATACTTCATCAAAATTACCACGACATTTACGTACCAAGTGAGGAGCGGTATAGATGGCATGCTACACTTAATCGCTTGAGATGGGACAACTCTTTCAAAATCAAATATAATTGCTTTGTTCAATTCAACTTCTAGTAATAGTTAGAATATAGTATTTTTCTTGTAAGAATTTTGTATTTGTATTATTTTCATATTGATTTTGCCGTATAAGAATGCAATTCAACATTTTATGATTTTGAGCACATTTTAATCACTCTCATATAAATATTGTATTTGTGTTATAAGAATATGATAATTGTAATATGTGAATATTATATTTGTATTATGTGAATATTGTATATGTGTTATGAGGATATGATATTTGTATAATGTAACTATTATAAAACAACAAAAAGATCCTCAATGTTTGACCATAAACCCTTAATGCGACATTAAGATAAACTCTGTTAGAATAGAAGCGAGACAAAGAAAATGCATTTTAATCCATGTTCCATACGAATATTTTATTAGTGTTATAAGAATATAATATTTAGATTATGTGAATATTTTATTTGTGTTATGAGAATTTTTTGTTTGTTACTTCGCTTTTCTAATTTTTTCGCTCCAAATATGCATTTTCATCAATGTTTTTTTCTTTCTAATTTCCAATTTTTTATTTCAAATTTAAAAATTTTGCTATCTTTCCCCACTCTAAATATACATTTTGATCAACTTAGTGATTTTTTCTTTCTAATTAGAAAAATTTATTCAAATTTTTACAAACTTTTTCCATTTTTTCACTATAAACACTCATTTCCTAATAATTTTTTCATTTTACTTTTTAATTTTTCGCAAAACAGTCAATTTAATTTTATTAATTAATTTGTAACCGGCCTGATCTAGTTGAAACCCGCGGTCGGGCGGCGTTCACACTAGGCACACAAAGACAAGTATGTACGCTGCTCAACCGTGGGATTTTCCCTGGTCGCTTTTCTCAGAAATCATATGCAGAGCTGTAGAGTGGGTTAACAAGGAGATGAAGCTACATCGTATTCCTCTTTCAGTGGCCAGATTCTCTTTTAGCGACTGATTCCTCTTTCAAGGGCGATGGCGGCGATGGTTGAGGCATGGAATTGAAGGTGGGTGTTTTTTAACGGCGAATTCTGGCGATGGCTGCGAAAGGGCTGCAGATTCTTAATTGGGAGTGGGGAAGGGTCGGTGGGGAAGAAGCGGTGAGGTTGTGTGCGATGGAGAATGCGGGAGAGGAAGGAATGAAGCAGTGAAGGCTAGGGAAAGGAGGGGGCGACGGGCGACAGATTCTTGCGGCGGATTCTCAAGATAAAGGTGGTGCGGCGGAATGTGATTCTTGTTTCGGACGATGGGGGTGGGGGAATGGAGCTGGTGAAGGTGGGGCGATTTGCAGGGATGCCGGCGAGGAGGAAGCTCCCATCGATTTGCGGAGACGTTGCCGGAAGAGTTGGGTGAAGGAGGCAGATTCTCGCTAAGGAAGGTCCGTAAAGGTGGGTGCAATGGAGGAGAAAGAAGATGGATTTTGTTAGTAGAAGGGAAGGGAAGGAAGATGAAGGTAGGCTTTAGTTTTGGAGGGCATGTTTGTACTTTCGCCCCCAATTAGGGTTAGGATGAGAATGAAGAATGGGCGGCGAATAGCAAACTTAAATGGGATAGAGGTTGTTATTGATGATGGAAAGACTTCTGATCCCAAATTCTATTTCTATCACCGGCCGTTTCCAACTTTACATCTTTACCACCAGGGAACTTCCACCGCCGCCAAAACCTCCTTCTCGCGGCGGAGCGTGGCTGTGAAGGCGGAGCTGAACCCATCTCTGGTGATAAGCTTGAGCACGGGGCAATCTCTGTTTCTGGGAAGGTTTGTGTTCTTCAACTTCCAGAGGGACAACGTGGCCAAACAGGGTTTGACGGAATAGAACGGGAAGACCCACTTCGAGGTCGGGGATGTTAGGGCCAATGAATACGTTAGCCTTCTAAAATCGAACGATCCGAAAGTCCGGACCCGACTGGGTCAACCTCATCGGCCTTTGCCGAGGTGACGTCTCACCTCACGACTACCCGCCTGCTTTGCCAACACGACGGTCCAGAAGCTCGGTCCAGAAGCCCGCCATCCATCCTCGGAGTTCCCTCTTACCATCATAGATGGTTGGCCAAACAGATGCCCCCGTACTAGATCCGGAGTTCATCAGCTTCGTGAAATCGGATCTGCGACTAAGGCTTTATGCCCGCCTGCTTTGGAGTGTTATGGTGGGGCGATTTCTTTTTGTTTGTTTTGTAGGCCTCATCACTAGCAGGGTGTGGAGACGGTCAAGACATGCGTGGATCTTCCTTGCCGAAGTTGCCTCGGACCGTCCGTGCGCCGAACCCTCTGCAGGTTCGCCGAGTATTTTTGTCCTCCTTGCTTTTCAGCTGCCACGTGCAAGACAGGCGTGGATCTTCCATTGGTGGAAGTTGGCGGCTAGGTGGTTCGCCAATAGAATCCAACGGTGGCGCGGTGTACATATAAGCTCTCACCTTTTAATTGTTATTTTTAGTTTTACCAGAATCATTATCCTTTTATTTGATTAATCAGTTATCTGCTTTTTTATACCTTGGTCCACATGTCAAATTGGAGGTTCGTGTTTCCCAGTTGTCGAGGGAAACTATTGCTTTGTTGACGCTGCGTAAGTTTTTTGGTGGACTAATGGACTTTATAGCTTCAATGGAAAGAAAAATTGTGTCGAATCCTGAATCTGTATCTATAGTGATTTAATTTCTAACATCTTTTTGTTTCGCGCATACTTTATTGTTAGATTTGCAGGGATTTACTGCATTGCGGTCGCTTGAGTGCCACGGGAATTTGGTCCATTACTTCCGCCCTTAAAAGGGTTGAAGCTCAGACATGGATCCTGGTAAATGCGTAGGTATTTTAGGGCTGCCCATATCGTGGCACAAAAAACTCTCTTGTCGTTGGATCGTCTTACGCTTCTTCCCTATTTATTTTTTGTGTTTTGACCTGCAAAGGCTTTGTAATTATATTTCGTATTTTGCTACTTCCCATTCTTTGGGATACCTTTGGGAAAAAAAATTAGCAAAGCATAAAAAAAAAGGTTGTAACTTTGTTACAATCTCCCAAGTCCCATCATAGTAGATCCTTTATTTTCCACGATCGGCAACGTATCCAACTTTTACCCAAGTTGGAATGTGTATCCGCAATAACGGAGGCGGGCGAGTTCTCAAACGAGCACAGCTCATGGGAGTTGAATCCACCCTCCCTACCTGAAACTCTTTGCCACCACCGGCAGATCGAGATTCATTTTGAGTCCATAATCGCCGCCATGGACGACCGATCAAAGGAGCTCGAGAGGAAACAGAGCGAGCTGCTGGAGATGGCTCGAGAGGCGAAGAGGAACTGAGGTTACTGGAGCTGGACTCGAGAGAGAAGGAGATCACAGAAATGCGGGAACTAATCAAGTCGAGGAATGATTTCGAGGCCGAGAAGGAGTCGGTTCAGAGGAAGCTGAGAGAGCTCAGGAAAGAGAAGAGCAACTCGAGACGCTAGGGAACTACATCGAGGAAAGAAGGATTAGGGTTAGAGCTAGTGAGCTCGAGGTGGAGAGGAGACGGAAAGCAGTGAAGGCGAAGGAGAAGAAAATCAAATGGAGGTGTGATAATTTGGGATCTAGAGAGGGAGAACTGATAGCTAGGGAAGAAAGGATTCAAGAACTGGAATCAATAATCCGAGATTATGAGCGAAGTTTGGGTCAGCTCGAGGTGAAATGCAAGGAGCCTGAGTTGATGCTGGAGCTAGGGCAGATGGAGGTCAAGGTTGTTGGAGGGTTTGGTGACGAGGTTAGACAGAAGGCAAGTAAGCAGTGTAATGGTAAGAACAAGTCGAAGGAGAAGAAGCGGTTGGACTACAATGATGTCTTCAACTTAGCTTCTTTGAAGAATGATCCCAGGATCGAGAGGAAGCAGGTAATACATAGGTTACAGAGTTTGCTGGAAGAGCAACAGAAGCAGAGGTATGCTGATTCAATTGCTGAGTTGATTAAGAAAATAAGTGAACGAAATGAAGATAATGGATCGGAGTGCAATGCTGTGAAGATCCGGCCTATTGTGTTAGCCTCCTCTGCCAAGGAAAAAGAGCCAATCGCGAAGGATCCAACAAAGCTTCATCCTGCAGAGAAGTAGTAAGATGCACTAGACGGTAATCGAGTGGGGTCAAAGGATGCTGTTGGGGCGTCGTCATTTCTGTACTTGGGAGATATGGGTTCTTTTGAAAACCATATTCAGGATGGCAATGGTTCTCTTGATGTGCACAGAGGGCAATCGGATATGGTTACAGAGAAGGAGCCGGGATGTGTAGAAGAGCTTGATTTGCAGAACGAGCAATTGGATATGGTGGTGGAGAGTTCTTGTGGGATTGAACAGAATGAATTGGCATGTGCAGAAGGGAAGATCATTTCAAGCCATCAGTTACACGAAAGGTTTGAGTTGATGAGGAAGCAGGCCTCAGAGACTCGGAGCTTGGCTGGGAAGCGAATGAGGAAGAGCCACATGAATCCAGTTGACCTGTTTTTCAACAAAAGCAACAACAGTGGAGATAAAGGAATTATAGAACCCAATGCTTTGATCAAGTCCATCCCGGCCCCGCCTTCCGCAGAAGACAGAGATCCCGAGTCAATCACAAAGTCCACCAAAAATCTTCATTCAGGAGAAACGCAACAGCTGGAGTCAATGTTACAGAGCTCAATCGAGCCTCAAAAGAAGACTTTTAGCCGTCTTGATGCAGTTGATGATGAACCGAATAAGGTCAGCAACGAAGGACATGAAAGTGAAGAAATGGAATGCAATGTCGTGACGTAGACAGAGTCAGCATCAATCGAAAAGTGTGCCACAAAACTTCTCCCCGAAGAGAAGCAATTAGAAGCCAAGCAGACGGTTCGATCAATGACTGCAACTGCTCCTTTTTCTGAAAGGTACGAATCACAGAAGGGGCGAGATTGGAAGAGGTTTTCGTACTACTACTCAAAGGTTCTGAAGCAACCTGCACCTTCAAGCCCAGGCTTGTGCACCGGAGGTGAAGTGGTGGAGTACTTGAAGCACATGGATAAGTTTGGGAAGACGAGAGTCCACATTGCGAGTTGTGCCAACTATGGAAGCCTGGAGCAGAATTCAACTTTTTCGTCGTGCGATTGCCCACTGAAGCAAGCATGGGGCAGCCAGGATTTGCTGATCGGGCGACTGAGAGCGGCCTGCAAGGAGTGTGGTGTTGTGGCGGAATCCAACCCATTTGGATTGAAGGAAGTGAGGGTTTTCTTGAAGGGTTTGAAAGAAGAACAGGATAAAGCTAGAGGAACTTCTTTTATGAAGAAGAGGAAGAAACTCCCGAATACTACCGAGTCCCAAAGCTTTGACACAGCTCATGTTAACGGTTAAGTGCTCTTCCCCGGTAAATTTCTTGGTGAATGACACATTTGAAATATGATGCGTGATTGTCTTTAGTTTTGGGATCAGAAATCGTTGTGTAGTGTTGCTGTGAATATTTATATTGGTTAGGAAGTGGCAAAGCCAGAAATTTGAATGAAGAGCTAAAAAGTTTACATTTGACAGATTTGAACCATGGTTAGAGGGTTAGAGCCTTACTGACTAGTTTATTTTCTAATTTTATTATAAATTTTACTTGTGATTTTACTTGCATTTGAAAGTTGAGATGGCTACAGCCCTTTCTAGATACAATGTAACTCCACCACTGGAAAAAAGAATGATTTTTATGGGCATAGCTTCTACGTTGGTATTTTGTGGTCATCTATGGTTATATAAATACAGAAGCAGGCTCAATGCACATATGATCGAAGAGAGAAAATGAAGGGAAATGGTTGAATAAAAAATGTTTTCTTTCTGGTCCTCTTCTTTCGTTATTCTTAAATGAATTTATACTATCATTTGGTCGTTTTGTTTTGGTGATAGTTTGGTTGGGAGATAGTTACAATGCATGCAATGTTCACAATGCATCATTTTTTTAAATTTTATGCACAAACAATGCATGCATTGTTTGCTTGATGTGACACAAACTATCACTCAAAATGAGTGATAGTTATATCTCAAGTTTTGGTTGAAATTGTTGAGATTGTCGTCTTTTTTTTTTTTGTTCCAACTGTATCCCTAACTTTTTATATGTGTTGCTTTTTTATACTAAAAACAAAGGGTACAAATGACATTTCACTTATAAAGTAATATAATTTATTTAAACACTACATTAACTATCACAGAAACCAAACAATGTAAACTACAATACACCAATTTTCTTATATACATGCATATTATTATTGTGCATGCATTGATTTAATACTTAAACAATTATATTAGATAAACATATTGGGTTTTTGAAAGATGAGGACTAATTGTGCCAAGAGGTAGCAATAACCATCAAATTCATTTAAATTTTATCCATATCCATATAAATTGATTTATGAATTCATGGATTGGATCTATGAATCGATCATAATCCCTCAATCCAGGGCCGGCCAAGAGGGTGTGCTGGCCCGCCCTCCGGCACAGGGCCTCAGAATATTAGGGGCCGCTACTTAGATTCGTTAGTTACCGATCGTATATTGTAGGTTGTATTTTTAGTGTATGATTGATTGATTATGAGTATGATGATGTGTTTAATAGATAATTTTAGCTATAATAACAATTGAAAAGGATCTCATGGAGAATACGAAAATCTGAAAAACAATAGATAATTTTAATTTAAACAATATAGAAAGATATTACATTTTGAATAATGTTATTATAATCATTTTAGTTTTATTATAGTTAAAGGTCGATTTGAACCACGTCTAGATTTAGAAATACGGCCTCCACGATCTAGTAGACAACCCTGCACCCACCTCTCGATCAATTTAGACTATTTTCATTTCTCCATTCAATTTTTGCGCTATATCCATTTTTTCTTCCTTCCAGATTTACTTTCTTCCCTACTAGGGTTGGGAATTCGGTCTTGGTTTCTTGGTCAAACTGGAAACGAGATCGTTTATTCCTGATGTAATCTTTTTCTGAACTTAAGTATTTTTTTACAAATATTTACTAATTTTTTATTTTGATAAATTTATGGAGAAAAAATTAGGGCCACATTTTAAATTTTCGAACAAAGCCTCCAAATATCATGGGACGGCCCTGCCTCAATCCACTAATCTTCATTGTCCAAAGCAATGCACAACTCAGATTTACGACTTTATTATCGAAAACAAAAACTTAAATTCCAGCTTCTGAATTCCCATCCAACTATCGAAGCCACCATTGTCCATGGTTGATCTAATCCAAAGAATGTCGATCTTGTTTGCCTAAATACGCCAGCTTCAGTGCGACCGTCGATGATTTCTCTGTCGCCTCCCTCTCCGACTTTGGAACCCCCTTCCTCTCCAAAACCTCCATCGTCCCAATTATTATCTTTACCCTACAGCTCCCGGAAAGAACATCGATTGGCCGATTCCCTAAACTCCATCGACGTCGAGGCTAGCATCGTCGACGTAACCTCTGCCTACCTCTTAGACTTCCAAAGAACCCACCTCGTTGCCTCCCTCTTCGACTTCGCTTTCACCGAGTGATCGCATTTTTTGTTTGTTGGTAATCAAGGTGCCCAAAAGTTCTGATTTCTGTTTGTCTATTTATATTGAGGAACTCAAGTTCCTATTTCTGTTTGTTGTTTGTGTGCTTGCCTATTTTCCGAGAATTTTATTTTGATTTAGAAACTCGGATGGGGCAAAGGGCTACCTGTTCCACTAAATTTGCAATAAGTAACCTAAGTTAAATCCACCTCAGTTAGGTCATACCTTAACCGGATTGTTTATGTAATGGTTGAATTTATATTTGACATGAATGGAACTCAACTGCAGAAACACACCATAGATAATTGAGGGTACTGGTTTTGCCTTACTACATTTAGACAGTAGTTTCTCTGTTGTTTTTCATGTTTAACTAGTAGCCATTTTTGCTTATTTAGCATGGTGAACTAGTTATGATGGGTTGATTGATTGATATATTGAGATTCTTCCGGTGGACTAGATTTGATATTGCCTAAAATTGAATGTTTTTAGGGTTTGCTTGAATGCTTCAGAAGCATATTCCTTTGTGCCTCGAACCTTGTTAAATCTAGATGTTGGAACTATGGCCAGCCTATTCTAGAGCCTAAGAAATGTATGTTTTGAATGTTAATTGCCTAGTTTGCATTTGAGTTATATGGTGATTTCCTTACTAACTTTCAAATTGTTCTGATTGATTATATTTTACTCTATACAAATGAGTGTTTCGTGGAAGCTCATCCATGTTTTCTTGTTTACTTTTAACTGTTTGGGCAGATATTGAAGTTCTAGGTAACTTAAAGAGCAGCAGTTATGCCTACGTGTTTACGGCTTTGTTTTGAGATATTAAGATATTTAAGATATGTATTTTATTTAAAGTTGTGTTATTTGAGATTTTTAAATATACCCTGGGGTAGAAATGTCTTTTTCCAAGTCCAAAGTAGTGGGATGTTTCATTGTAGAAGAGTGAGGTAGTGATTTTTCTCAAGCGGGAAATGAACTGGGCGAGAGGCCTGGACACCAGCCTCCTCAAGAATGTCTTATGTTTATATCTTTGTCTTAGAACAATTCCCTCAAAAGAGCGGGAAACCTTAATACCAAGAAAGTATTCTAAAGCGCCGAGGCCCTTGATGCTAAAGCGATCATGGAGAAAACCTTTAACCCGATTGATGAACCCCATATGATGACATCACCAAGATAGATAGAGCCACCACGTAAATAGAACCGCGACAAAACAAGAACAAGGAGTGATCAGCATGAGAAAGTACAAAGCCAAGTTCAAGGAAAGCAACAATGAACTTTGTGTACCATTGACGCGATGCCTGCTTAAGTTCATAGAGTTACTTTTGCAGTCGAAAGACCCATGAATCACCTGTTCGTGCACACCCTTGTGGGACCCGCATATATATCTCTTCAGAAAGGTCGTCATGAAGAAAAGAATTATTGATGTTAAACTGGTGAAGAAATCATCTCTTAGAAGAAGCAACATCCATGACCAAGCAAACAGTGATCAGTTTGGCAACCAGAGCAAATGTATCATGGTAGTCAATACCTTCGAGTTGAGTATAATCTTGAGCGACTAAACGAGCCTTATTACGCTAGATAGTATCGTCGGGCTGGTACTTAATCTTGTACACTCATTTGCAGTCGACTAAACGCTTGTCAGGAGGAAGATGTTGAAATATTCATGTCCCGTTTTTATCCAAAGTCATAATCTTTGCCTGCATAATATCACGCCAATTTGAACTGAACCGCTTGACGAAAAGAACGAGGCTCCAATCAGCAATGATCGTAGCAAGGTAAGCCTTGTGCTATGGAGTAAATTGAGTATATGAGTCAACGTGGGTATGTGGGGAAATTTAATTGAATTTCTTATTATGAAAATTAATTGGGTTCATTAGGGTTATATACTTTAATTAGGTTATACGATTATAATTTATTGACTCATACTTATGAGCTCCATATACTGAAAGTGTATTGTATGTGAACTCTTAAAAAGCGGATGGAGCGAGGCGAAACAACGATAAGAGCCAAGGTTATAGCAGTAATTGAGTTGTGAGTAAATCTTGACCTAATGCTTATATTAATAAGAATATGGTATTCAAGTTATGAAGTGACTCAAGTACAGGGTAAATATCATTGTTTGATTCATGTATATCATAGTGTTGTTGGTATGAGAATGAATGATGACATGGATGTGTGCATACTTATCTGAATGATCATGTTGATATGTCACATGGTGTTGTATGATGTATTGTATGATGGTTTTCAATATGATATATGTTCTATGACTGTGATATAAAATTGGATATCGGATACACGCAACATGGAGTGACCTTTGACGCGCTAAAGTGAAATTATATGCAAGATACCTTGCCTAGTACTACAGTGTATGATTGGAATCTAGAAATGGCTATAAGGCATTTGTATGAGATGGTTAGAAGTATAAGATCTGTATATCAAATGGAAATGGATTGGCCATAATGGCATACATGAAATGTTGTTGCATGGTCACCTAAATCAAACATAAAGATTGCCTTGTATACTCAACAGAAGATACGAGAATAGGGTGAATATGGTATGGTAACACTAGGCTGTGATACACTCCGCGGTGGTATGTGATATAATGAGACTGGGCTAGGTACGTCCCGCAGTGGTATGCTTGATTGGAACTAATGGTAATCCATATTCATACATCTTGGAAGAGTGTATGAGTTGGCAAGCTAATGGAGTAAAAGCCACTAAATCAACCTAACAGTGCATGTGATTGAATCTCTGTATAAAGATTGCTTATAATAGGGTTATCTGATGACTTCCTATGATGTGATATACGAACTGTGTATGTGGATGATATAGTTATGTGATGGTTTTTATGGTGTTTGTTATATTGATACAATATGAGAGTACATGATGAAATGAATGGATGCATGTGTTATTAAATGAAATCTCAGGTATCCTGATGTTTATGGGATGTGGTATATTATATGAGACCATGCTACTGAATGTGAAAAGTATATTGGAATGAGATATATGTATATACAGAAATGAAGTGGGCTATGAAAACTGATAAAAGTGAGCACATGGATGGTAGGGGAAATTAATTCGGGGAGATAACATCACTCGTTATTATGTTTGTATTCATATTTACATTAACCTATTATTTATTTATTGGGCGACGTCTCATTCCCGTCAATATTTTTTTCCTCACAGAGTCAAGTTAGCGCCAATGGACTTAGATTGGCAGATGAAATCAACCGGATGGCAAGGAGGTGGGCGGCGATACTGAACACTCCACATGCTTCTGAAAAGCAAGACCAGTTGCCATTAAGCAACTTCTTTTGCGTCCCACTCGAGTATCCGGTTCCTGGTAGGGATGGCAACTTTGCCCATACCCATGGGTTTCTTACTATTTAACCCAATTGGGTTGGGTATGAAATCCAAATAGATGGATATGGGTAGAGTTTGATGGGTTTGTACCCATACCCATTTATTTTGGGTTGAGTTGGGTTTATATCAAATGGATTTGGGTTTGTACCCATGCCCAAATACAAATTACAGTTTGGTACCCAAACTTAATAGACATGCATATTTAGTACCTAAATTTAATTTTTTTTTGCATATAAGTCCTCAAAATATGGATGAAAAATTACATTTTGGTACCTAAATTTTTTTGGTCTTACATTTTGGTACCTAAACTTTTCAAGTTTTGCAAATAGGTCCAATTTTTGCATGTGTAGTTAGAACACTCTCAAGTAAATGGATATCCATATCCAACCCATACCCATTTAGATTATGGAAACCCCAAACCCAAACCCATCTATAAACCCCCAAATCCATATGCACTTCACTTATACCCAACCCATTATCAATGGGTCTACTTGGGTTTGGGTATAATTACCCATAGGCAGGTAATTTGCCATCCCTAATTCCTGGAGATGGTCGCCAATCTTATGGTTCAAGAAACTCGGATCGAGACCGAGTCCTTCCACATGCAGTGAGAAGGATTCTAAGGAACCGAAATGTTTGTTCAGGGCTTGGCACTGCAGAAAAGACCGTTTCAGATATTTGAAGGTACAATATTATATTTCAGGTATTATTATTTGTAAGTCAAGTAAGTCGTTCTGATCCTCAAATATCCTTTTTCTCCAAGTATTTCAAGAGGAACAGGTTTGGTGGGAAGTTTTCAGCCAGCTTATATGCCAAACTGAATCTAAAGGCCTCCATATGCATGTTCTTCTAACTCAGACTCCGGATAAGACCTAAAAGGGTAGAGGTTTTGACAGATAAATAACTCAAAATAGGCAAATCTAGGGGTGTGGAAAGCAAAAGAACATAGCTTTGGGCCAAAAGTGAAAAATGTGTATCTGCCAAATGAACCTAAGTGCGTTATAGTTCATTTCTTTGAGCGGTAACTGAAAGTAGAAGAAACTTACACTTTAGACAATAACTAAGAAGGAAAAAGAGATGCGAGGAGGAAGAGTTTAATATTCTGTGAAAGCACACCAGGCAGGCATCCATTACAAGGAATAAAAGAAAGAGATATGTTTAATTACTTGATCCTTGTCTTATCCAAGTAGCTCGAGAGGAACTGGTTTGGTTGGAAGTTTTCAGCCAGATGGAATGCAAAGCAGAATCTAATGACCTCCACATACATGTTCTTCTCACTGAAGTCTCGGAATATGTCCTCAAAGGGGAAACCGACTAGCAGGTTCAAGATAGTTCACTAACAACCGGTATCTGGCACATCAACATAGTGACATTAACAAGTATGTCTGTCAAAGCACATCAGGCATCCATTCTCCATATACAGTCATCTGAGCAACAAAGAATGAATGGTTTTACTATGAACAGAAACCAAGGAAAGCATGAAAACAATACCAGGTGTCCACTTGGCAAGTCCAAAAGAAGGATATAACTCGGGAGTCATTTCATGGTGAACAATACCAATTCCAACATATCCTCAACTTCTAAGTGGAAGCCAACTCCAAATGCAGCCAAAAACAAGGAGAAACTCACTCTTAAATTCCCTCAGGACTTGCTTGCCTTTGGCAAGACTCCCGTCAACTGCTCCAGCATAAGATAGCGATTTCTTCTCCAAGTCTGGTTGTGCTTCTCTGCGCCAATCAGTGAAATTGACTCTTTCAATTGGTCCCAAATCATCTTTTGCGGTCGGATAAATGCCAAACTGCAGCTTCAAACTATCCATCAGCTTCTCCATGTTTTCATAAATGCAACTAATCTAGTTCAGAAATTTCAACAAAGAAATGCTACAAGGAAACGGAACCAAAACCGTTGAGAGGCAGGGGAAAGAAATCTGAAGCAGGTGTACAGACAGAAGATTACCCGTTGGCTCAGACAGAGAAAGAAAAGCTGAAAGAATAGTTTTCTTTAACAAGGGCACATTGTCCTTATCATCATCATCCAATCAAAGAACACCAACATGGAAGATAACAGAAACTTGCCAGGATTAGCTATTAATTAAGCATTGCACAACAAAACAAACCCCCAATTCTGTCACATGTTCAACTTTCACACTCGAGGTAAGTAAGAAAAGCTTGATTAGATGACAAAATCCGCAAAGTTACTAATAAACCCAACACAGAGAATTCAATAGAAACCAAGAGTGGAAGAATGAAAACATAAATCATCTTCTTCATCCGAGATAGAGCACCACCAAACCAAACCAAACCAACATATGAATGTGTCAAAATTGGGGAATTCCTCTTAGAAAGAGAGGGATTGCATCACCCACTTGCGCCACAAACTCTTATGTATAAATCCCCGCAAAACCAACCAAATCCGAGTGAACAAACACCCAAGGCAAACACAAAAAATATGGGAAAACAAACAGAGAAATAATTATTTGTTCCTCCGCTCAAGAGCTATTGGGACACTCCCTTGCAAGGTGTCCTGGCTTCCCGCAGTTGAAGCAACCAGCAGATGAACCAAACCTGCCACCGCCACCGCCACCGCCTCCAACACTCCTTCCACTAGCGCAATCCCTTGCCAAGTGGCCATACCCTCCACAGTTATAGCAGGCTCCTCCGCCACCGGGGCAATCCCTAGCCAAGTGTCCGAACCCGCCGCAGCTAAAGCAAGATCCACTGGAACCTCCTCCTCCTCGACCATTGACGGCAGCCTGCGTACATTCCCGAGCAAAATGCCCAGCGTTCCCGCACTTGAAGCAGCTCCCTCCGCCGCTGTTATTCTCGCCGCGATTATTGCACTCCCTAGCGATGTGATTAGGGTTTCCACAGTTGTAGCACCCAGCACCGCCCGCGTTGTTTCTCCTAGGAGCGCCGAATCCGGCTCCGCGCCGGTCGTAACCGTCTCCGCCGCCTCTTTTAGCAGGCTGAACGGGAGCTCCGCCTGGAGCGGTGACGTTGATTGCCTGGCACTTATTATCGGTGAGAGCAATTTCGAATTCGACGACATCGTCCTCAGACAGAGTGCGGTATCCGCCGTCGGACTTAATCACGCTGTGATGGACGAACAGATCTTCGCCGCCATCATCTGGCTTGATGAAGCCGAACCCCTTCTTGTCGCTGAACTTGACGACCCTGCCGGTGGACCTCTCGGTGGATGAAGATCTCACGGCCTGATCCTCCGCCATCGGAAAGTGATTGATTGATTTAGTCGATCGAGAAAGACGGGGGAGAGAAGAAAGCCCTAAAAACCCAAGGTATAGTTAGAACGGTAGTTTTGTAAGATGGGCATACTCCTTTTTATAATTTCCTTGTGTGGATTGAAAAGTAACAACTAACAAGGAATAACCATGGTTGTCATCGGCTCATGACATGCGATTAGCGATGGCAACAAAACCCGAACTCACGGTTACCTACCCAATCCAATCCAGTTAATACAGATAAAATTCGATTTGACGAGTTTTGGGCCAGGTTTGGATTTAAACCCGTTTACTATTTATCGGGTTGGGTTGGGTTTGGGTTTATGTAAATCAGGCCCATGGGTACCCGCTCACACCCATATAATTAATTTTCACGGCATATTTAATATTCTAAACAACTAATCTTATTTATGTTTGTGGAAACATGTCTAATTTTTTCTTTCTAGTTGTGTAGAATGAAGTTGATGTTATCGAGTGGAGAGTATAGGTGTCAATCGGGCGGGTTCAGGCGGGTTTGGGCTGGGTTCAATCAGGTTCGGGTTCAAACGGGTTGCGGGTTCATCGGGTTCGGGTTCATCGGGTTCGGGTTCAAACGGGTTGCGGGTTAGTCGGGTTGCTGGTTCATCGAGTTCGGGTTCAATCGGGTTACGGGCAAATCGGGTTGCGGGTTCATCGGGTTTTTGGTCGGGCGGGTTGCAGGCGGGTCGGGTTTCGGGTTGTTTGGGCCAGCGCATCAAGTAACTTAACTCTTTACTCATTACCAACTTACACATTTTATTACACTAATTTAAAATATTTTCTCAATTTTTTAATAAATTTATTTCTACCTCGTATATATATACTTTATTTTTTTGAAAAAAACTAGTCAAAATGTTAAATCAATTTGTATGACTTGCAAACTTGTTATGTAATTAATCATAATTGGTAAAATATTATAGCCAATAGTAATGGTGATATCAATATTTGCAACCAAAAGACACCATTAATTGTTTATTTGATATTTTAGTATTAATTCAGTAGTAATTGGATTAAAGTATCTCGTTTAGTATAACCATGCAAATCTGGTATTTGGCGTGTGGTATTTGGCAAAAGTATAGTGATAAAAGGAGTTATTTCAAAATAACTCATTGCCCAAATAACTTTACGGGTCGTTTGGATACAGTATTTTGATGAGGTAATTTGGTCGAAATAACTCAAAATGAGGTATTTCAATCAAAATAACTCATTTGACAAAAATAAAGTAGAATGTGGTATTTTGTCCATGAGTCAATTGAAATAACTCATTGTGAGTTATTTGAAATACCTACCCACCCCCTAGTTATTTCAAATACCTCATCTCCCAACTTCTTTTTCCACTTCATCCCTTCTTTAAGTGGTGAAATACCACAATATTTGAATGTTTTATCCAAACAATACAATTACACGAATTACCACATTTCAAAATGAAATACCACATGAAATGCCACATAGCAAAATAATGCATCATTTGGATTCGAAATACCATAGAACCAAATTGATGCATCCAAACGACCCGTTTAGTAAACTGTTGTCAAACGACTTATTTGTAAAATTGTTCGAATTATCCTAAAAATTGAACCATTAAAGATTAGCTATCAAATTTAGTAAAATTATTGTGACTTCAATCATAACTTACTCAATAGCATATATCCTATACACTTAGCTTTACCCTCAATCAACAATATTAAGTTAGTATATGTTGTTGATTGTATACCCTAAACCATCAATACATTACACTAACCACATAACCTATACCCTAATCATATGTCCTTGAGTTGTGATTTTGCTAGTATAGTTAATTTAAAAGTGAAATTCATACTTTGATTTTCAAAACATAGATAAAAAGTGATATTTGCTAATTGTTATACCATAACCATATATCATATACTTTACACCACATACCTTGTACCCTAACCACGTACCATAAACATAAATTAAAAAGGGATCTCCTGCCGTTAAAGACTTCAAATGACTTCAAGTGAACATATGTTAATAAAAAATCTTAGAACCGTCAAAACCATCAATATCTTATACCCTAACCATATACACCCTAAACCATATGTACCTTATACCTTATACCCTAACCATATACTTTATATCCTAAACAACGAACCGTCAAAGATTACTTATCAAGTTTAGTATAAATTGTTGTAACTAATGGTTAATTTATTTATTAGCCCATAAAAAATTAAATACATATATACATATTAGCCTTCAAAGCATATAAGAATAATTTTAACTAGTCATGCCCTCCATATAAAAGTTAAAGATTCATATTTCAAAAGCTAAAATTATGAAAACCAAAAAATTGAAAACACCAAATTTGTTTCCTTCTTTCTTTTCACAAAAATACTAATAAAATTTACTCCTTCTTTCTCCTTCCATACATTAGAAAAACTCAATTTTCCCTCATCTTTCTCTTCCATAAAATTGAAAGAACCAAATTACCCTCTTCTTTCCTTCTAAGTTGAAAAGTCAAAAGTTTCCCTCCTTATTTCTCTTTCATAATCAAAAGAATCAAACTTTCTCACTTCCTTTCTCTTCCCACATATCAAAACCACCAAAATTCCCACTTCTTTCTCTTCCCACATATCAAAACCACCAAAATTCCCACTTGTTTCTTTTCTAAAAAATTCAAAGAACCAAATTTCCCTCTTCTTTCTCTTCCCACAAACTTGAATACACCAAAATTTCCCTCTTCTTTTAAAAACATCAAATTACCAAATACATTACTTTACTTTATTTATATTTAATAGATAATTTTATTGAATAGTTAAATTAACAAAAATTTTAATTTATATATTATATTAATATTGTCATGATCTCAAGTGACCTTCATGTTTAAATTTTTGTAATTTTCTTAAAATACGTAATATCAAGTGAGTTTCATATTTTTAAAATTTATTATACGAAATGAAAAAATAATTTTACTTAAGTTTAGAATGAAAAACTTTATTTTGAAAAACTATGTATTGTATATTTTTATAATTATTCAAGTGGATTAGATGAAATTCGGGTTGAGTCGGTCGGGTTACGAGTTAGTCGGGTTGCGGGTCAATCAGGTTCGGGTTAATCGGGTTGCGGGTCAATCGGGTTGCGGGTCGGGCGGGTTAAGGGTTATTGACTTTTAGTCAATTCGGGTTACGGGTCGGGTTGATCTGGCGGGTTAATCGGGTCGGGCTATGTTTTGACACCTATAGTGGAGAGTGAAAAACTTAATTAAAAGGAAAAAACTTTCAATTAATCATGTTATTTATGGATAATTTGTGATTTGCTTCAACTTTCTTGAGTTTTCTAGATTGGTGTTGAACAATGTGTATAGTTAATTTGTGATTTGCTTGAATTTTCTAGAATGGTGTTTTATATATGGATAATTTGTATTGAGAGATTGATATTTGACTTTAATTTTGATAGGAACTTGTTATTGTGAATTTTTTACGACAAAAACACGTGGGTACCCATGAACTCGCGGATACCCAGTGGGTTAGGTTGGGTTTGAGTTTGAGTTTGAGTTTTTCAAACCCAGTGGGTTTTACCCGAGTTTTTTTCATGGATAAACCCATGGGTTTGGGTTTGGCAAAACCCGACACAACCCGACCCATTGCCATCCATATATGCGATACGGTGGGACTAGATAGTATGACAACATCCCTTGTGTTGTTATCGTAACAACACTAGTCTCCAACCAATAGGAAGTTAAAGTTGTGATGATTTTTTATTAGTTGAGTTGACCTAGTGTAAAATCAAAGCAGGGGTATAATTGTCATTATGAAAATATATTTAAATAATAATAAAATATAAAAAATTATTTTCTGCCCAAAATTTTGGTCTCCAGAATTCGGCCATTAATAGCCGGAAACGGGTCGTGCGGTCACCGGAATATGCTTTTTCCCGCCGGAATATGCTATTTTGTCGTCGGAATATGCTCATCGTCGCCGGAATATACTCACAATTGTCGGAATATGCTTACCGGCGTCGGAATCTAGTCATCGAGGTCGGAATATGCCTATCGGCGTCGGAATCTACTCACTGTCGGTCATGGGAGACGACCACCGGATGTTATGGTCTGCATTGTGAGATTTATGGTTTGGTTTCTCATATTTTTCTACGCCTTTTGTGATTTGCTTTATCGTGTTTCTAGTTTGCATTGAGAAGTTTCTGGTGCGCTTTCAAAAAATTTGTGGTTTGCTTTGAGGGGTTTCTGGTTTGTTTTAATATTTTGTGGTATGCATTTGGACTTTTCGATTTGCTTTTTTGGGGTTTGATTTAGTGTGTTTGTGGTTTGCATTAGGAGGTTTCTGGTGTGCTTTCGCAAATGTTGTTGTTTGCTTTTGTGAGGTTTGTGGTTTGTTTTGGGGAATTTGTGGTATGCATTAAGAGGTTTCTGGTTTGCTTTATTGTATTTCTGGTTTGCATTAAGAAGTTTTTGGTGTGCTTTCGAAAATTTTATGGTTTGATTTGTGGGGTTTCTGGTTTGTTTTAATGGATTTGTGGTTTGCTTTGTGGGGTTTCTAGTATGTTTTAGTGGATTTGTGGTATGCATTAGTGTGTTTCTGGTATGCTTTTTATGGTTTGTTTTATCACGCTTGTGGTTTCCATAAGAAGGTTTCTGGTGAGCTTTAGAAATATTTGTGGTTTGCTTTATTAGGTTTCTGATATGTTTTAGGCGATTTATAGTATGCATTAGGTGATTTCTGGTATGCTTTTTGTGGTTTGTTTTATAGTTTTTGTGGTATGCATTAAGAGGTTTCTAGTATTGTTTGTGAACAATAAGTATTCAAAAGTTCGGAAACATGTGCAAAAATGTCATTAGGGGATTTATCATTCTCTCAAAGATAATTCAATACCATAATTGAATTCAATAAAGAAGGCAAGTCAATTACAAGAAAAACTTAGTATTATTCAAATCCATCTAATAAATAGTTCAATAGTCACTCTACCAACTCAGTTGATAATAAAAGTCATACAATCAATCTCATGTCTCATTGAACTAGCCTCACATTCACAACCACTCCTTACATAAGCTGGATCTTCACAAATTTCCCTCTTCCCATCCAT